TATAAAGGCGCAGCCAAAGTTGAATAGTTCTTAATATACCTTGAAAAATAGTTGTAACAACCCATTATCGATTGAAGTTGTTTCACACTTGTAGGGTACGGTAATTTTTTCAATGCAGCAACTTTGTTAGGGTCAGGTCGAATCCCATCTCCATTGACAAGATGTCCTAACAGCACTAGTTCGGTAACTCCAAACTGACATTTATCAGTCTTAATTTTTAGATTCCAGTCTCTAAGTCGATCGAGCACTAATCTTGTGTTACACAATAACTCTGACCAACCTTTTCCCATTACTGGAATATCATCGAAGTACCCCAAACATTCGGTATAGTTTAAACCATTCAGGACTGTGTTCATAAGTCGCTGAAACTCGAAAGGTGCACAAGCTAGGCCCATAGGCAACCTTTTGTATTGGTATTTACCATCAGGCGTCAAAAACACTGTTTTACCTCGTTCACTCGGAGGGATTTCAATTTGAAAATAACCTTGATAGAGATCAAACATGTTAAAGAACTTAGTTCCTCTGATTGCTTCCAAACAATCATCAATTCTTGGCATCGGGTAAAATATCACATTAGTTAATCTGTTGACGGCTCTCAAATCGTTTAATAGTCTGAAACTTCCATCTGGTTTACCAATCAACATTGCAGGAGATCCTCCAGGAGCATTACTTTTCTCGACTATGTCATGCTTAATCAATTCGGCAATTATCTTTTGAAACTCACGTCGTTTCTCAATTGTGCATGGATAGGGTTGTTGATGAGGAATCTTCTGATCGCCAATATCAATTTTTATCGGCCATTTCTGCCAAGGAACTAATCCCATATCAGACTTAGTCTTACTGAAAACTTCTTGAAACTCCATAAGAACTTCTAACAACTCGTTTCGTCTTTCAGTATTCAATTTAGGATCCATCCTTTTCATAAGTCTTTCAGCTAATTGAAGCTCAGGTTGTTCAATTTGCAAATAAATCGGCATTACATTCTCGAATTCCGGTGTCTTAGACATTTCTTGAATATAATGAAGTCGGTCCACCTCCACGTGTGGAAATTGAAAGTTTGATTTTAATTCTTCATCCATCCATGGTGAATACGGCAAACTATCCAATAATAACTTTTCGGCTGTTAGAACACTAACTGTGTTAACAGAAGGTAACTCAGGCACATTAAGCAATCCCCAGGATTCTTCAGCGGTGCAAAATCTAAAAGCGACTTCAGGGCTTAGCCATCCGCTTTCAGCACTTTCTCGTAAATTCACTTGGTATCTACCTCCATGATTTACCATTCCAACAAAATATACGTCGGCGAATCGATTACCTAAGACCATCACTGGTTCCAAATCTTTCATTACCTGGAACTTGATTATCCTTGTCTTAGACATTTTCGGATGCTTCAAAATAGCATAAGCGGCTCCTTCAACAATTTGGCAGGCATCGGCAATTATACCCCGAACTGAAACATTCGACTTCATAATGAAGGCTTTCATTTTCTGGGCAAATTGATAATCAATACAACTCGTGCAAGCGCCAGTATCCAGTAGCACATCACCTACTTTAAATATTTCCCTCGTTGGGTAACATAAAGTCAATCTGACTGTCGGAAAGTTTCTTGGTGATGGATCAATTTTGGTGATCAATTCAACTTCTTGATTACCATCCTCATTCATCATGAATGAATACTCTTTAGCTGGTGCTCTTGCCATGTATGCATTAACTACGTTAGTTTCTTGTACCAAATTAGCTGATTCTTTAGCCTGTGGCTGATTCGAATTTTGTTGACTCTGGCTTTGACCAAACGTTGGTGCATTAGCCATCCTTAACTGAGCTGGTTGAAACCGTTCAGTTCGACCTTCATTCTTGTTAGAATTAGGATTTTCACTGGTCTTAGACCTTCTGGGTTGACGGCATTCTCTCGATGAATGACCCAAATTATTACAATTGTAACACCTGAAAGGTGTTTTCCCCGTACGACTTGATGAGGATGCTGATGCTCCACTAGATCCACTAGCATTCACATTGACGGCAGCATGCTTACGGTCATCTCCTCGTTTCTCATTCTTATCCTTGTTGGATTCCTTACGCTCAGAGCGTTTTCTCAACTCAATATTATACTCGTTGACCAATGCGGCAGTTAGATCTTGTATATCGTGAACTGATTTGGACCTAAATAATGAGTCTTTGACTTCTGCTGGTAATCTTATCAATACATCTTGTATGAACTCTTGAGGTGAGGGTTCACCTTTGACTTTGATTACCATCGTTTCCAACTTTCTAATAAATTCAGCAGGGTGTGAATCAAAATTCCACTTACATTGATGAAACTCAGATGTAGCTTGTGAAATTACCGCTGGATTTCTTAACTTGTCTTCCAATGCAGCAATGTATGACTCGCTGGTGTGCTTTTCTTTATCTAGAATTTTAGCGTAGGGCAAGAAATCATACGCCATAGCTTTCTGCAAAACATACAACTTATCGTCATCATGACAGCGTTCCAAAGACAGAATCCTTTTAATTGTCTGTAACCATTGCCAAGGATCCATAGCGTCTTGAGTGTAGACAGGAAGCTTAGGTAGCTTTGGTTTGCATTTCGCAAAAGTTTTAGGTTCAGCCTTAGCTTTCTCCTCAACTTTTTCTGTTCTAGGAACTGTTGTTTGAATTGTTTGATTAACTGGTGAAACTACGGTTTCATTTAAAGCACGAGGTTCATCATCACTCTCTGCATCTTCAGGATGTTCATTTTCATCTGCATCTTCAATCTGTTGTCTAGTTACACTTGCGTTATTGCCTAAGGCAGGAGGACTTTGAGAATGTTGAGAGTTATCAGGCAAAGTTCTATTCAAGATGTCTTGTACATCAATACCAGGGTTGATAACTTGTCGGGTAACAATTGATTCAGCAGGCTTAGCCCATTTCTTAACCATAGATTCGAGTAATCGTTTAGCTGGAGATGCTATCGGCAATTTACGAATTGAAACATCACTAGTCAGCATCATCGTCGTTGGTTCAAAACCCATTTTCTTGATTATCTCTCGAATATCGTTTTCAGTTACGCCTTGAGCTCTCAATTCTTTTATCCAATCAGGAAAACTTGTCTTTCTCGTCAGAGCGTTAAAACATGTCTCACCAACCATTTCATCGGTTGCATCAAATGTACTTTCGAGGGCAAACATAGTTTGTATAGCGTCGTAGAACTTTTCTTTCACGATTTCATCGTTGTCAACAAAGCGCACATTCCAATTCTTTAAATAAAGTTTCATTTCAAGAGTTTCCATATGCTTTATAAGATGTTTCGTTAAGGGCAAAGTTTGCGTTTGTGTTGTTGATGTCTTAGACGTATTCACATTATTACTTTGATCATGTTGATCAGTTTTGTCACTGTCAGTTTTTTCACTTTTATCACTTTCACTAACTACGAAGCAATAGTCAATTTTATAACAGGAATTCAATGGCAATCCTGCCGTGGTCGCCATTTGAAAGGAAGAGTTCATAGTTTTAAACTAATTTACCAAATTAAATAAATTCACTTCAATTGCGTACAAATCAAACACAATTTATTAAACTCAGAAGATTATTCAAGCCTTTCAAATCCTGAATACTCAGGTTCTTTTAGGATCACCACAGATTCAACTGGAACTAGTCTTAGACTATTGTTGGATTAGCTTTGCTTAACAGGAATTAGTAACCACAAATTCAACCAAAGAATGTTGTAGGTTAAGTCTTAGACCAAATATCTGAACAGGTATAGCTTACTAAAGCTGAACAGGCACGAGTCAGAAAGCTTTTAAAAGGTAAAACCAAATTCTAACCAAAATAAGCTTAAGGTAGAACAGTATAACTCGGAAAGCAATATCAGGATAACTACCAATAGTTCACTAGCTTTTAACTCTAGAATCATAGACTTAGTCTTTTATTACCAAATTGTTGAACTTCGGACAGGCTATCTTAGACAAACTTAGAAAGCACTTCAACACAATCAATCGTAAAGATGGAAAACAGGATTTTCACGATGCTTTACAGGGGCAAGAATGATAATTAGACTTAGTCTTAAAGAATATGGATACTTAAAGTTATACTTAGAAAAGGAAATTTATTAAACTGAAAAGTACTGTATTTCATATATTTTAAATGTGTATCACTTGTTTTAAACATCGATTCTGACTTGATTTAGGATAGAAAACGAACATAATTAATTAATGAAAACTTCTGGTATTTATACCAATTATATCGGAAGGAAACCCGATTTCTTAAACAAAGGAAAAGGAAAAGAAATTTATCAATTTAGACAAATTTAGACAATTGTCGAAAGATGTCTTAGACAGAAAAATAGAAAAGAAAAAGAAAGGCAAAAGACTTAGTCTTTTGATTACAAAATTGGTGAGAAAACAAAAATTGAAAAATGTGTAATGCACAAGGGATTCTAATCTTAGTTTAAAACTTTTAACTCTTAATAATCAACCTTGTGATAAATGATTAAATGATTTAATTTGGTTTTGGGTAACTCTACCCTTCAATGTAATGGAATCAAAGGCTTCAGAAAAATCGAAACCAGTGATAAAGCAGTTCTTTTATCCAACATATATAATCATCTTCACTTAATGGAAGGTATTTTTAACTACGATCCGACAATTGACGGCTGGGATGTAAGTAGCCATAATAAACTTGACCATTTTTTAATGCATATTGTATAAATTCCTAAATCGGTTGCTTTTTCAATCGCAGGCTCCAGCATATGATTTCAAATCTGATCGACGAGATACATTTCTTTTCAACCAGTTCTTACACGACGAAATGGTTTATGTAATCGAAACCTTTCCCGATCGATTCAGAAGCGATACAAATGTCATTATTCTCATGTATCTAATCATTATTTTCAATGGTGACATAACCGGATTGAAACATGACCCGAAATGATCAGGTTTGTTTATAATGTGATACTCTTTGAGTTCATGTCTATTCGTATTTTACAGTGTATATAAGTTTCACATTTTTACATCTTTTCACAGATATGAACAATTCTCATACATTTATTTACTTCGACGTTATTTGCGGACAATTTGTGAATCTGATTGTGAAGCTTCAGACAATTTCTACAGATTGATGGTTAAAACTGAACAGATGAGACTTTTAGCCAGAAAAGTCAAGAAGGATTTCTTGCTTCTGTTAAATGAGCCGTTGGTGGAAACAATAACGAAATCAATTAAACTTCGAGTGCCTAAAATTATCCCTCAAATTTTGCAGGTGCAACATATGAATATATTAATATAAATAAAAATTGTTGATTTACGCAGTTCTTATCACGTCAATGCACTGTTCACGGTTGAATTTAATCAAAAAAATGAAGAGGATTGCAAAAGTGCCCTGTTTTTCAATCAGATCTATAAAGAGCTGCATGCTGATGTTAAAAATTAACTTCATTTTCTTTATAGTGTATATTGCTCAAAATTCAGAGGGAAACTGCAGATTTTGCAGAAGCCAACCGATTTTTTGCATAGAGACATCAAGCAGTATACGGTTTAAATTATCAATTTTCTTTCATATTTTTTGTGAAATGAGCCACTTAATTCCTTCACTTTTGCTTAATCTGTTCACCTTCCTTCATTAATCTACGATTTTGTGTTCTCCTGCTGCATTTATTAGTAATATCAACACATCAAGTTTGAAGCATCATGAGCACTCCGAGTGATGAACAACTTTCTGGCCCATCAAATAGTGATTTGTTAAAAGTTAGACCTCCATCGTCCATGACTAATTCAAGTCTACCAAAGAGGCATTCAAGGACATCGAGTTTCTCTTCGATAACTAGTGATAAAATTATGTCAGCTACCAAATCGGTGCCTGTGTCAACAGAAATTTTGAACCCGAATTCTGATGATTTAACTGTTGGTGACTGTATTTGCGTTAATGGAACAAAATCTGGTATTATCAAATTCCTTGGTAGTACAAGTTTTGCTCCTGGTAAATGGGCTGGAGTTGAATTAGCTGATGCTTCTGGTAAAAATGATGGATCTGTTAATGGAGTTAAATATTTTACTTGAGAGCCCAAACATGGCTTATTTGTCCGTCCACATCGTTTAACTTTAGACCCTATTACACCTCCAGAGAAACCATCGTCCACCGTAACATCGCCATCTCCAATCAGTGATGGCTTCAAATCATCAACTAATCTCATAACCAGTGTAACAAGCACCACTTTCGCTTCATCAAGAATCACATCTTCATCAGCCTCGAATCTAAAAGTTGGTGATAAAGTTATGGTTATCAAGTAAAGCCAAAGCAAGCTAATCAACCAAGAACTAACATTAGCATGGTTAGACGGCCAAGTATTATAATTTATTATAACTACCTCTAAACGCAGCGGAATGGGTGACAGTCGAGAATCTCTTGCATCTATTAACAGTACTAATTCCCATCGATTGACCCGATTAGGTTTTGGGATGACTAGCAGCTATATGTGACCAATGACAGACTCGCTATCTTAAAACTATTGATGAATTCAATTTGAAATTGAAGAGAAACCACGATGAAATGGATAAAATGAAAAAAGATTTGAACCGGATGAACGTAGAGTCCAAGAAACATCAATATGGATGAGATTATTAAACAGACAGTAAGCAATAACGGTCAATTGTATACTAATGGATAATTTACACAAAAGTGGAGATGAAAGAAGGAAATTAGAAGGTAATCTCAACTCTTTAAGAGATAAGCTCGAACGTGAAGAGGTGGATTCTGAAATGGTGAAGATGAAAAAAATGATCCAGGATAAGGAAGCCAAGGAAGTGACTTTGATAAATAAAGAAACGCAATTGACTGAATAAACCATTACTTCACTGGAAAGACGTATTGATGAATTGCTCAAAGCAAGTGGAGATAACAGTGAACACTTAACTGAGGTGAATCGGGAATTGAAGGAAAAAGATGAAATAATTAACGAATTGAGTACAAAAATATAATAAAAGAGACAAGCTTAAATGGAGTGTATGGAAATGGATTGCAAAAACATGAAAGATGATAATCAAAACCTAACTTTATTATTAGGTTGTAAACAAAGTTCTGATACTTTTGATACACTCTTAATTCAAAATGATTGTTTAATTGCGAAAATTAATTTTATTTCTTTGATTTTTATAACAACAATAAAGTGAGATCTTAGCTATCATACAAACTCATTTAACGGTGAAAAAATTAAATAATGCACTCAAATCACAATTTAATTAGTTCATCCTTTTTTGGCATTTTTCAACAATTAAATTTAATCAATGAATTTGATTATTAAATGATCGAATATCGAAGAGAATTTTTGATCAATCTGAAGCTTTAAATCCAAAGAATTTATTGTAAAAAAATGTGCACTTTAATCACTAGCATTGTCCAATTAATTTGATTAATTACCAGTTTTAAAGCCGATTTTTCGACAATTTTCTATTGGACTTTCTTATGTGATTTTTATCGAAAATGCGCAAAAATCTCTTCTATGAGAATTCAATGTTAAATCGAATTTTGATTTTTCATGAATAATTAAAGAATGCTAATGATTGAAAAATTGTAAATCATTGGATGAATTATCTAGATTTCAAGGTTTGGATTGATACTAATTTTGATTCGATATTCGATTATTTTCCGATCAAAATAAATAATTAAACTTGATTGTTGAAAATCAAAAAAATTACGAGTTGATTGAATTAAAATTTAAGTGCGTTAATCAACCTTTTTAGTGATGTAAATTGATTTGAATTAAAGCTTAGAGTTGATTTAATTATTGATATTAAAAACAAAAAATCAAACTTAATTCTAACAATTTAATGATATTTTAAATTCAGCTGTATTGAGAGTATCAGAACTTTTGTTTACAACCTAATAATTGAAGAGAAATTTACTGAAATTGGTGATTTCAAAAGGACTATTAAAGAAGTGGAAGAGCAATCAAAATCTCGTTTGGAGGAAATTCGTTCCCTTGAAGAGCAAATTGCTGATCAAATAAAACGCAATACTGATGAGAAAAATCATTTAATTCAAATGAATGAAGATCTGAAGAATAACTGAACTGGAAGAAAACATTTCTGATCAAAAGAAACAAATTGACGACAAAGATCTGGAAAAGCGTAAACTTACCACAGAATTAACTGAAATGAAAAAGAAGGACGCCGAAAAATCTGCTGAGCTTGAAACGTTAGTTAAGCGTAAAACGCAAAATGATATCGAATCAGACAACTTGATGTCTCAAATCAAAGAACTTAAAGAAAAAGTTCGTCCCTTGAAAAGATGAAGACATGAAAATAAAAAGAGAAGCCAATGCCGGTTATTGTAGAATTTGAAGGAACAACCTGAACTTAGTAGAAAAGAGTTTGATGATTATGGTAAAATAAAATAAATTGGACCAGTCAGTCGATTGAAATGGTTCAATCAGAAAACAAAGAAGTGGTTTCAGAAAATGAAAGACTCAACTATGATTTGAAAAAACGCTCTCATATCTCTCTTATGGGAGCTTTATTTGTTTGGTGTCAAAAGCAACCGTGTAAATCTTATACAAAGTTTCTTAAGTGCAACGGAAATATATCCAGTGAAATATGTGAAATTGCTATTCGATACTTTTCGTAAAGAGATATTGAGATTGACGAAAAATGATTTTTACGAGGAAATATAACAGAGGTCGATGAAAAAAGCGAGTTTGGTTAGCTGGAGGAATCTCGAATTTATTAGATAAACACTCGGGATACGCCCTCGAGTTTAAATCTCATAACTTCTCGATGCAGTGTTTTAACTATCACATAAATGCCTAGATTTATACCATTGCATAGTGATTTAAAAGGCTTATTGTGTCTCCTCCTGAGGGACAAAAATAGAATCTTACCTTGGTTTGCAGCGACACAAAAACTGAATCCATAGGTGTTATTAAAATTTCTTTGATCGACTGATTGGATCTTGGATTGCTTTTTGTACAATTATGGAAGCGGATTTATTCGCGAAACTCATTCTTCTGTTGAAAATTTGATAATCACCAGAAAATTTTCTGTAAAACAGTTAACTCCGATTTTCGGTTAAACCTATTGGGCATATAAAATTTTTGGTGAACACTTTTTTCAATTTATTGTATATGCTTAAATATTTATTGAATCAATATTTTTAATGTTTCATGTAGACATGCAAATTCAAAGGTCAATTTTTTCCAAAATAAATTCGGTTAATGCAACAAAATTATCCTCCAAAGTTTTGTCAGCATTGAAGCCAGGAAAAGGAATCGCGGCATAAAGTTGCTCTAAATTGCTTTTGATGAAGTCTTTAGGGTCCGAAACTGGTCATGAAAAGGTTCAATTAATTAGTCAAATTGATATAATATTACACTATCACAATATAATTTAATTGCTTACTTTTAACATCAGCAAGACTGTTGAGCCAAGCATTAACAGCTTGATCAAAAGTCTCTTTGTTGTAGTCGACTATTGGAAACAGAGTATCAAAAAATATATAAGATAATAATGTATCATTAATAAAAAAATTATGTTAAGTTTTCTTAAAACGGTTCACTTACATCCAAAATGCTGTTCTGTGACAAATTTCATCACTTTATCGACGATCTTTTCTTCGAGTTCATTTTTCGGGAAAAACACTGATCATTTGTAGATGAGCAATGAAAAATAAAAATATTAATAAGATTAAACTGAAGTTATATCCAATTATCAATACTTACTTGGAATTGGCAGTTTATCGAAATATTTTTGAACAATCAGCGCCATATTATCAACAACAGACTTATTTCTAGCTAAACCTAAAGATGTAATTAAGCAATACTGTTGTAATAAATCTAAACAAATCAGATGAAAATATTTACCTTCGACGTCAAGAAGAACAATGTACTTTTCGAAGTTTTCCTTGGCACTGACATCAGGATTCCATGCTGATATATGATAATAATTCAAACATAAAAGTAAGCATTCGTGATTGAACAAAAAAGTCAATAATAAACTCACCAGGAACCAGTTTGTTGTCAAAAGGTTTTGAGAGAAGAACCAAAAGATTTGATCGAAGTGAGACTTTTGAATCCCAACCTAAGAATGATCAATAAATTGACAATTTAAAGTTTATAAATATTATTAAGAAAACATTTAATTATCAACTAACCAGGAACCGTTTTTTCCCATTCATTAACGAATCTCCTATTAAATTCGACAGCGGCTTTAGCAAGTGGAGTTGGATCTGTAAAAACAGTAGGACATTAACAAAACTGGGTTAAGATTAGGTTAGGAAAAGCCTTACCTTCGGTTGGAGCAGCACTAATGGCTGAGAGACAGAAGATGGCACTTAAAACGATCAAGAACTTCATTTTACTTTTTTTTAGTTGGATTATTGGAATCACACAAGTTTCAATGAACATACAAAACTGAATAAAAACTATTCGAGTTTTGCACGCTTTTATATTATTCGACAAAGATCAAAAAAGATTAAATTAACAGATTCATCACAACAAAATTAACAATCGATATCACAATACGTGATAGAAACAATGCAACCTCTTATCTGATTTCATGAAAAAAAACTTGTTTTCTAGGTACTATTGCTAAAGGCAATTCCAAGGAATCGATGAGTGCTTACTGAACTTAATTAGATGAAATTAGATAAGCCAGATGATTCAGTCAAAACAATTGGAATTTATTTTGGAGTTTGAAATATAAGTTTATCATCAAATTGTAAGATTAATAAAGAGGCGACATTTCGAAAGGACGAAAATACAGGACGAGATTACAGGTTCTGCAATTATCTTTCTTGAAGATTCTTCATTTCAGGTGGACTTCCTCATTACTTACACATCTATGTCTCTTGCATGTGAAAGCCAATAAGGCGACATCTGAAAACTGTGTAGACTGGAACCCTGCGTGAATTTATTGTGTTCAGTGCAGCTACCAGGTATATTATTTAATTTTGACTTTTTATTTCTCAATGAATTAATGTAAAGTCATCAAATTTTGTGGCAAAATTGTGGCCAAACCAAGCAGGTTCGAAGAAAAAATTGCCCAGCATGAAAGCCATGATAAAGTTGCTCCTGTAAAAATAAAAAACCTCATCTCAGAATTCAGATCTCTGAAAATAGAGGCTTGGGAAAATGCAGAAACCTTATTCAATAACATTGACAGGAAAGAAAACTTTTTTTGCTCAAGTTGATGGTACTACAGAGACCTGCCAGTAATTCGGACTCGCTTGAAATAGCTTTTTTACACTATTCGTTGAGCAACATAAGTTATGATTTTCAATTTTTCTTTAATCGAGCAAATTTAACCTAAATTGTTACACTAAGCTGATTTCGCGAGTTTTTGGATTAATATTTCACGAAAAAAAATTAAATTAACAAGGGAAGTTATCCAGATACACGAGCTACTTTTGAATGAGTGAGGTGTCATTCGATAGAGGATGATGAGTTATGAAAAACTGTCGAGGCTTTTTTCTGCTAATGCAGTGGTTCCTAACAAGGGAAGTATCTCAGGTGTCTCAGCGATTTCCGGTCGAGACTATGTTCATTCGATAGAGCATAAAAAACTAGCGATAAGGTTTGTCGGCTTCAGATAGAAAACTTTCGGGTCACGAGAAAATTGAGGTCAAAACCCGTTTTCTTGCAAAAAATGCAGTTTCCCTAAATTTTTTTCGAACTTTGATTCATTTTCTAGGGTTTTCAGACCTGAAAAAATCATTGAAAATATTAAAAACGCTATAAAATGTCTGCGAATCACGAGGAAACTCAAAATAAGAGTAAATTGATGATTCCAATGAAAATCAGAAAAATCAAATAAATTTGTAAATGCAGACATTTTATAGCGTATAATATTTTTTAATTTTGATAAATTCATCTAAAATTGATTAATTTTTAATATTGATGAATATTTGTTAAGGAGTATGGGTAAAAATTCTGACTTTCGAGTTAAGAGTTCAAACTATGTGAGTTTGTAGGCCCATAAAAACTGAGTCCATTAGTGACATTAAAAATTTTCTCCGATCGACCGTTTTTGAGAAAATCGAGGTCAAAGCGCAAACTTCGATGCAAAGCATAGGAAAAACCGGACCTTTTTGGCAGGACTTTTGATGATTTACCCGAAGTGAAATTTTCATCTCCTTATGATACTAATTTTAATTCCAATTTTGCAATTCTAATGTGTTCTTTTCAACGCTGCAAATCGCTGTCCGATTGAAGGTTAACAAGCGAAATAATCAAGAAAAAAATAATTATTAGCAATAGAAATATTCACCTAAGTACAAGTATTTCCTCTCTTTCATTTGTAACTTTAAACATGTTGAAATTGATCCTTAGATCCAGATACACTTTTCTTTCTCATTTTGTGCCTCAAACATTTTCAATGTTGAAAGTACAGATTAACTAAAGGTTCGTTCACTTTATATTTCACGATCATTACAAGCAAAAAGAGAAAAAAGCTCTTGGAACCGATCATACATTTGCAGTTGAAATATTATTGCTTCTGTGATCGTTTGCAAGTGACATCTCCCCGACTGCTGCTTTTTCTTTTATCGTTTGCCCAATCTGGAGTCTAAATTATATACCATATCCGAGACATTCAGGTGTACATTTAGAAACGTGTCTAGATTTATCCTTGGTCGGGTAACCTTCAGGGTAATTGTAACAAACATGTCATTTTAAGAATGTTTTTTCATTGATGATTTAATTCTTTAAAGTGTTGATTGGATGTACCGTACTCAGTGAAAAAATTGAGAACATGTAATGATCGTGAATCCGCTTGTCCATACATCCATACATACAAAATATTAAGTCAAAGCATGAAATTTCTGCGCCGAAATCGTGTTAAAACAAGATTGGCAATAAAATTAGAACTACCCCGGCAATGATAAGTTTAAGCTCTTACGGACACAGAAAGCAGTCAGTTTAATTGAACATCGAACCGATCTATTTTATCAGAAACATTAAGTTTTATTTCTCAAGATAAGTGCATTTTCCGGTTAGTTATGAAAGTTTGCAGCAGGAGAATGAGTTTCACGAAAAAATCATGTACACACTCATTTAAACAGTAAAAAGCAATATGAAATTTATTTCCAAAAATCGGGTCAATGGATCTCATTTGATTTATTAAACCGATTTAACCTTAGAAATAAACAGTGAGATTATTCCCGTTAACCGAAAAAAGTGTTCAAATTATTCATGACTTCTAGTGTACATGAACGTAAACACAATCAGTTTAGATTGTCAGCAGAATTGATAAGAGAAAGTTAATTCTTGGAAATAACAAACCATTTGATCAAATCTAACAAACTACACAGATAGATTGTCAGATTAGCTGGAATTGTTTAACTGAAAGAGTTGGAAATAATGAACCTGCAATTTAACTTAAAATGGAACTGACAATAACTAAATCATCATTGTTTGAATAGATTAAATCATGATAATGGCCAGAAACATTGCAAAATCTAGTCAAAACACCAAACCAAATTTATCACTATTGCTGTCAGTAACAATAGATTATTAATTAGAGGTGGAGAATCGAGATGATCTTGAGATAAATTTTTCATATTAAAACCAGAAGACAGACGGACAAAAATTGTATTGATTCAAACGAATTGAAATAACAACATTAAATTAAATTTCGCTTCAAAATGATGACTTATCAAGTTTCAGCTTTTGCCTTGGCAATAGTTTTTGTCGCCAACATCTCTTACATTGCTAATGCTGACCAAGGTATTGATACATTTTCAGGTTTAAATTAGTTTTACAATTAATTATTGTTTAATAATGTGAATCCTTTTTTCTTCAGTATTCAACTATGATGTGACTGTCCATACCTCAGGATCAACCAAATTCTCAGCTCATGATGGTAAACTCAAGCTCACTGTGGTCAAAAGTAGCGGAAAGACACAAGAAGACTTTGTATTGACGCCAAAGTAAGTCATTATTAGTTTATTTAATTTAACCAAACAATTGTCATTTAACCATTCTTTATTTTTCAGTGATGTTAATCTTACCATGAATAGCAAATACACTGGTCAAATTGCATCGTCCGTTGAGCTTGAAGATATCAAATCTGTTTACCTCCAATGGACTTTGGCTACTCCATACAATCCATATTTTGCGATCAAAAAACCATCCATCTACTTCGATCTAATTGTTTTTGGCTATAAATATAAAGCTATGGCATATCGAACACAGTAAGATCTTCAATCAAATCCACATTCTCTATTTTGTGTAAACTACGTGCAAATTAAATCAAATGTTTGCTCAAAAAATCACAAAAACGAGTTGTAATACATAAGCTTATTATTTTCATTAATATATTTTCTTTATTGCTACACAGTATAAACATGCAAAAAGTTCAGAATTTTTGTCCATCAACTCAACCTATTGGAATTGAACATGCCGATGGAGCTTCATTCAATGCTTGTGGATCCATAATAAGACAAGTATTGCCATTTTGATGATTTCATGTCAAAATTTCAACCGGTCTATAAATCTCCTGTTAATCACAAACGAAAGTTCTAGGGAATAAATTCCGTTGATGTTAGAAAAAATATGTATCATCTGAAACCAAAATTGGGACAATTTTCAATTCAGATTCAATATAATATTCAAATATGCAGACTGTAAGGTCAAGTCAATCCATTTTTAATTAAAGTCTTGAATAAAATATATTAAGTAAATGCAACGAAATTTTTCGCTTAAATTATTGTGATTGAACCAAAAAGTTTTTTCTTTCTTTTCCAAGAACTTTTCTTGGGTCATTTTTCGTGAAAAAATCATGGGGCGAGATGGTTAAAGTAGGTTGAAGATTCATTCGAAAAGGTATAAGAGATTTGGAAAAAATTTTGCGGTTAGCAAAGTAATTGACTAATTCTAATAAGCAAGCGACTATTGAATTTTTCAAAACTAGCGATGATTATTTGTGAGGACATTCTTAGATTTGCATGCAAATTTAAGAATGTCATTGCAATGAAGACAATTTAAGACACAATTGAATCAATAAGGTCAAGCAAAAGTTAAATATAATAATAAGGTAAACCCAAAACAGCAATTGGAACGAATTTTAATTGTTTATATTTTTTTACTTCCTTTTCCGGTCGACGTATTCATAGAAAACGCATTTTCAGACTTTCAAAAATTTTAAGAAAGATGAAGAAGAAAAATGTCTTGGAGACCGGAAGAACATTTTTTCCTGGTAAAATTTACTTTTTATGCGATGAAAGTGCTTCTGCAGCTCAGAAAAGGTTCGGGACACACTTTCAAATAAATAAAAAAGGAAAATTTAACAACCATTCAAACGATTTCTACAAGTTGTAAGTAAGTTCAAAAAAGTGTTTTTTCAAGTTTGTATCTTTTTATTCTCTTTTTATCTTCTAAATGGGTCAATGCTTCGGAAACAAAGTTTTCTTCACTGGATGCAAATGAAGACCGAAGTGGGAGACCAAAAACAGAAGTGAAAACACACGCTTGAAAGCCTTTGTTCTGCCATCAAAAATGTTTTCGCACAAATCTCAGCCGAAACTTGCGATAATCACTTGAAATTTAATAAAATAAAACTCGCTGCACTGTTCTATTCGGCCAACATAATAATTTAGTTGAAAATCTAACCAGAATTTGATGTACAGTCACCATTGAGAAACTGCACTTAATTTTTTCAACGGTCCCTTTTGATTCAATGTTTTCTTTGTTTACATTTTGTATTTGATGTTTTAAATGTGCAAATGCCGAGAAGGAATTTGTCAATTAAAGAAAGATTGAAAATGACTGAAAATAAAGATTATTGTGAAATATAAGAGCTTTGCTCTGAATTCAAGGTTACATCATGGACGGTTAGAAGGATTTTGAAAAACCACGAGGCTCTGAAAGAAGCTGCTGAAAATAGACAACTGAAGAAAAGCAGGTAAGCTCTTTTTTTCGTTCCGTGCTGATCAAATTAAATGATTATGACATTAAAGGATAATAGGGATGGTTTTTATCTTTCAAAAAAAGGATTAATTTGAAATTAGGAGTGACTCATTGAGAGCGATTATCAGTGGATTTGACCAAGGATTATGGTAAATTGGCAAAGTGGATTCATTTACAACTGCGACGGAACAGCATTGTTTTGAAGACAAGCTTCAATTAAAAACTTATTTTATCTCCAAACATGATCATCTGGGTGATAAATTATTCCATGAACGGGATTTCCATTCTTTTTACTGTTTCACGAAATGGTGATAAGATAAAACCTCCAGTGATCAATCTATCAGCTAAAACGTAGATGTTTTATAGTAATTGTTTGGCAGATTTAGAAGAAATAAAATGTTTAACAGAATTCTTTAGATGGACAGAGAAATTTTTGAGATTGGCTGGCTGTTCATGATGATCTCAACGCAAAAAGATAAATCGTATTAATTCTCGATAACTGCAGTGGCCATAAAGTGAATTCCTCTGATTTTTCTCTCATAAATTT